ACTTGTATTGAAATCATATAATTAGTATTAAATGAAATTATTGTAGCCTGAATAACAAAATAAACTAACTAACAACTGCTTATTTTTTAGTTTGGTAAACTGCCAATGTACGGTCATATAAGGAAAAATAAACATTTCCAAAACTGTCTAAAAACATACGTACTTTAAGAAGGTGAAGTTTTATTTGTCGGAAAAGTCGAATTTCCCGTAGAAAATGAAACTAAAAACTAGGCATACAAATGATTTAGATGTTCTTGATTTTTTAAACATAAATTATTATAGAATAACGGAGTCCAAATACTTTTTTAGGGCGCGATGTATATATGGGGTGGTATACAAATAATGGAAAAGATCATTTTTGTATTCTTGAGATTTTTTGTTCTAAAAGTAGGTACATAAAGTTCTTAGATAGTTTTGGACATTTTCATCTTTTTCCGCATTTGAACGTACATCGGCAGTTTTACCAAACTAAAATATAAGCAGTTGCAAAAAAAAAACTGTCATTAAAAATCATAAAATAACATGTAAATTGAAATTAGGATAACATCGAAGTTGAGGGTTTACCGGAAATGGCGGAAAATTGCAGTCTATCCTTAGAAGAGTGCAAAACAGGATCTTCTAACATGATTTCTTTTAATGAACTCGTTGATGACTGGACGAATGTCTATTTCATCCAAAATATCTTGATGGGCATGAGTAATTGCTAAGTTGTTGAGTCTCTTCTGTCCCATGGTAGCTCTAAGGTACGTTTTGAGACGCCGTAGGGCACTAAACGAACGTTCGTTAGTTGCTGACGTCACCGGCACAACTTGAAGCAGCTTCAAGCATTTCACAAGTTCCGGTAACATTTCCTTTACACTAGGTTCTAGTACAAAGAACTTTTTAACGTCGTTTAATGTATCAAGTTGCACATTCTTTTGTTTCGAAATGTCACCCAGCATTGACAAATGTAAGAGTAACCTGTCAGTGTCCAGATCATTTTGAAAAAGCTCTTTAGAACGTGTCATATCACTTTGTTGTCCTTTCTTTAGAACCGAAAGACACTCCCTCTCCACTGCAATCACTTTCAACAGTCCTGTTGAGTCGAATCTACTGGTAACACAAGACTTGACAGTTTCACAAATTTCGATGTATACGACTTTAAAATATTCAGCTGGTGTGTTGAATGTGTGGGGTGGTCCAGCCTCCTTGTTTTCGTAGCGTTGAGGAACGCGGCATTTCCGTGCTAGTTCCGGTTCACCTACTGATGGTGGCTTTACTTGTAAACAAAACTTCCAGAAGTCTTCAAATCCTCCACGCTTTTCTTCCAAAATACAGGCTAGGTTAATGAACATATCTTCTAAATCAGTTACGCTCAAATCAGGTGATTGAACTTTACGATTTACCTCTTCCACTGGGTTCATTACATAGCAATAAAGCTGTAAAAACAAGTAAGTCTTGAATTTCAGCATAGATTCCAAAAAACCTGCACATTTATAACCTGCGTCGTTCTTATTCGAGGAAGAGATGGTTTCAAACAACTCCAGAATACTTTCATAATTTTTCAAGATTTGTTGCACACTTGATGCTCTCATTGTCCATCGTGTTGGGCAAAGCGGTCGAAGTCCTACTTTATCACTTAGACTGGTAGCATTGGCACTGCTTACACATCTGAATATTTCCATCCTTTTAGGGGATTCTCTAACATTATTAATTATATCCTTTGCAAGGTTCATTATGTCTCTCATACAAGTCAGGCACCGAAGACTGTCTTCAACTGCTAAATTGAGGCTGTGGGCAGTACAGTGAACGTAAATGGCCTGATCCTGCACGTTTAAAATTAACTGTTGCAGTCCGTTGAATTTTCCACTCATATTGGAAGCGCCATCGTAACACTGTCCTCTCAATTTTTCCATAGACAAATCCAAACGTAAGAGGATGTCCTTGACAATACTGAACAGAGTTTGGGATTCAGTGTTTGGGGTTTCATATAGTCCAATAAAATCTTCATTGATGGTCAAATCATCATTTACTGTCCTGATACAAAATGATACCTGTTCGTGAATTGAAACATCACTAGTTTCGTCCACCATTATGGAAAAGTGCCCACATTTCTTCACGTTAACTAAGACCGAGCGCAAAACAGACTGACCTAGCAAGTCAATTATTTCATTTAGAATATCGTGGGATGTCCACTTATAACCCGAACGATTTAGCCAGTCTTTTAGTTCTGGGACGTCTTCTTTCCTAAGTTCCAAGAGTTGCAAAAAATTTGAGTTTATATCCTCATGTCCTCTAATTGCTAGACCTTGTCGGCATAGGAATTTTAAAGTTGTGAAAATAGCAGTTAACGCTAAACGGGCTTTTTTCATATCATTATTCATGTGTTCATTTAACTGGGCAGCTACGGTTGAGTTTGAAGCAGTTGACAATTTAAGAATACCCTCCTTGTGGACATTTGTAGTTTCATGAGTGCGAAATTTTTCCAAGGCCCTTTTCCAGTTTGAAAAGCCGGCAGAAGTAAACGCATCTTCTTTCTTTAAAGTAAACTTTATAAGGCCTTTCGCTTCTGCCTCTTTGCAAACTTTACAAAATGCTTTGTCAGTTTGTTTTTCATATTCTAACCAAGAATATTTGGTTAACCATGACTTTTGAAAGGATCTTCCCTTACCCTTACCGATGATATTATGGTTGCTGCTGCTGCTCAAATTTAAGCTGTTACTGCTGGCAGACGTTCCAGATACCGGAACAGATGATTCTAGTGCTGGGAGTGGAGTTGTGATCCTATCAACACGCGCCTTTTTAAATACAAACTTATCCATATTGTATCACTTTACAATAATTCACACTCAAACACTACTCACTGCTTACTATCAATCACATCATTCACATCAACATATAGAAACACGACGTAAACTAACTGCTTGTGACCGTGCAAACGGAACAACGGAACTGATTGCAAGAGCCAGAGCCGACAAGACAACCGAGGCGGTAGACAGTACGTTTGTTTTGTTTACAAAGAGCGCGCTAGGGGTGTCTGTAACTCATCCCTCCTCCCACCACTCCACGGCCAGCCAGGCGGCCACAACTTCAACGCAGTGACCTTGGAAAAAGTCACGTAGGCAATCTATTTATAACTTGCTAACTGGTGGAGTGGCGACAGGTAGAGCTACAAGTTGCGGTTTTTATTTTTATAATGCTTTTACTAAGTATTAATTACTTGCAAACACGTGTTAGAACACATTTACTAATAAACTAAGTTTGCCAATATCATTCTGCTTATATCATCATGTCCAATTTGATAATAAAGTAAATATGGTTTAAAATTACATGAATAGGCATTTAAAACCTTAGTACATGTATTTAATTACCTTCTAAGGATTTAAATTAATAGAAAGATTAATATGATGTGAATTAGGTTTATTTAAAGTAAATTAAAGAAATACTGAAATGCAAATTTCTGAAGTATTAAATGTCAATGTCATTAAAATAAAATGGATGACAACTTAACAGAACTTCAGTATTCCGAATTATCGCGAACTTACATTGGCGGAGGTTAATTCTCTCGTTCATTTCCATGAGATTGTTCTTTTCAGCACATTCTGCGGCAATCAAAAATCTGTTTCCGATGCTTTATATACTCTTTACTCCTTCGAAATTTAGGGGGGGCTACGCCCCCCCTAAATTATTTTTGAGGGGGCTTGAGCCCACCCAGGCCTTATGGAGTCGGCGCCCGTGCTTACATGACGGTACTCTATTAATTGATGGATGGTAGGTCATGGTTGCAAAAATCATATATTGTTGATTGGAGAACTTTAATGTGCTATTGCATGTGAAATCAAATCTTAACTGTCTAACGGAAAATATTCGATTTTACATTCAGAGCTTCTATACCAGTCGCTCTGATGAGTCTTTTTATGGCGAAATACGTGTAAGCGAATAATAGAGGTATAAAAATGTGAGTTTGATTAACTAAGTTATTAGTGAAAAATACGATAAATGATGATGAAGATAAATGAAATATTCAATATGTATTATGTTTAAGAAGAGTACACTATGGAAGAAAGTACTAAAGTATAAAAGAAAAGGAAGAATTATGTACATTACTTAAGATAATGACAGATGAGGAAAAGCTAGAAGCAAATTTATGTAAAATAATATGGACAGATGTAAGAATGTACATATCAATTGTCATAAATGTCAAATAAAGAGCATAAACATGAAGTAATAAAGTTATCAGAGGGAAATAATTAAAATAAATTTTGGAGACAGAATCAAAATCCGGTTTCCGTACATGATGTAGCTTCGCCTATTTTAAAAATTTTAAAGTGTTTGTCCTTGTGAAGTGTAGTGTGATGTACAATTTTATGTTTATAACATTTTATTCTTGTTGGATAGGCCACAATTGACGAAATGCCCCTGAAGATGTTCTAGGGAGCGAAAGTACTTGGGCAAGATTAAATTAATAAAACTGCTCGATATCTGCCTTTTATTTGATCAAAGTTCATTTATTCGAGCATTCAGCCTTATATCAAAGTAACTATGTAGGAAATGATAAATGTCAAATTGAGATCTCAAAAGTAAATATTTAGTGTAAGCAAGTGTAATTGTAAATCCAGGTTAAAATTTGTGCTGAAAACTAAAGAATTTGGCATAAAAATAGAGTAGAAGCCTGATGTTATAAAAAGCTAAACAGTATAAGTTATTCCGTTGTAAATAGCAGTGAATAAATACGATATATCACAAGGTAATATATTACATTTACCGATCATCTTCCAAGTATTCAAGATGTAATTGTGTAAGAAACATCGCCAATCCATTTAGGCATTAATATGGTGGCGATACGAGATATATCCATTCAGAATTATAATATACCTATATGGTTCAAAATACATATTAAATGAACATAAATCAGTTTGTCAATTAGTATTAACTAGTCAAGTTAAACTATTAACTGGATTCGTAATTTTTCTTCTTCCATCGTCCACTTCGTTTTGTTGATCGAAATTGAAAAAAATAACAGTCGAAAATACTTTTATTTTATTTTTTTCTCAAAACAAACACTTCGCAACTAAATTTGTACTTATTAGTAAAAATATGCGATCGAAACTGTTGTATAACTCAACGTACGCGAATTCCTAAGTCTATAAATAAATAATAATAAATAAGTACAATATAAAATAAAAATCACAAAACGTTTGAACATAAAACAGGAATGACTTGGAATGTTATAATCATATCACGAAGCGAATTTCTAAAGCTAAAAATAAATAAATACAACCTAAATTAAAAATCACAAAACATTTCAAAGGGAGGTACACACTAACGAGAGTTTTAAACGATTTGCTGACAGTTCTGTTCAATTGTATGCCACCTAAGGTAGGTGGCGTCTACATACTTTTGCCCACTTCGTATATCGAAACTTGAGTAGGTGGCCGGCCTTCTCTAGTTTAAGTTTGTTCAGCCTACATTATCTGAGGAGCCAAAATTACCTGGTAACTATTTATAGTATGGCTGGAGCACAAAGTCTACAAAAATCAGCAGATAAATTCGTAGCTCTATCGACGTAGACATTCCCAGCACTGTGTAGACCCACTAATAAGATTTTTATTTCAGGACATTCTTAAAAAAAACGGCTTCGGCCATCAATAAAATAAAAAAAATACTAACAAAGGCGAAGCCACCAAAAATTTAACAAAAACCCCAAAACCCGGACACAAAGGGTCCAAATCCTCGAGCACCAAGTCGCCAAACTGGGCCTAGCTCGGAGCGGAGACTTGAGGCCCGAGCGAGCAATTTCAGTTTCGCGGATAAGTTACCAGAGAAAGCAGGAAAAAAGCGACTCATGCTAGCCTGGATAGATCGGTTAGGATATCCTATTGGAGTTCTAGTACCCAGGACTCCTACACGAATAGCATTTGACTGATAAGAGTGCCCCTATCGCGCAACAGAGTGCTATATATAAAAAAGGAATAGTCTGGAACATTGAGGCGCGGTGGAATGATTCCTGTCTTACACGAATTAATACACCTCGCTCCAATGAATTGTAACACCCGAATGTCATTTTAAGTGTGCAAGTCTCTCAGGCTTGGGGTTAAATTAAATTGCTTGCTTACTTGTAAGTCTACAAATGGAAATATGGCACAAGGATCAATCTTTATGAATATCTCCTTTGTGTGTACCTACCTCATAATATAAAAGGAATGGTAAAATAAATAATGAAGTAAATAATTTAATTTATACTTGGCAACATTTAGTTTTGTCCTTTTAACAATGGTCCGTTATCATGGTAATTAACTGTCGAACCATTAAATTTAGCGTGTAGAAATAAGTAGAGGGAAACACCAAAGAAAACTTTTACAGTTAACTTGAAACCACGAAATCAATATTTTAGAAATATTTAAGTAACAGGGAAATGAGTTATTTCTTCTTTAAAAGAATATGGAATGAACAGGTATCCGAATGAAATTAAGAAATAACTTGTGATCAAGCTTTTGTAGGGTGATGTGACAAAATGCGATAAATGGTTTATTCTTCTTCTTCGCGTGCCATATCAGAATTATCCGACGTTAGCGATCACCATTGCGAAGGCTTCTCGATCTTCTGCAATATGGAATAATTGTCCTGCATTTGGTATATTATATAAATAATGTAATAATGGTTTATTACATTATTTATAAATATGTCTGTTTTTATATTATATAAATCCACTTACAGTTCCAAGTTAGATATAAGCTCAAATTAAGCTTAAAAGTCAGAGGTTCTTGTAATAGTTTTTGTAAATTTTCAATAGCATTTTGATTCGGTGAATACAAGATAAAATGTAGCAGATTGTAAAACACTACGGCTTCCCAGATAATATTCTCAATTGAATATTAGGAATGAATGTTAGGAATATATATACTAAAACACATAATATCCATTGACCTGGCAGTCTCTATGCGCCAAGATTGTATATTTCCACCTACCTTAATGCTATGTTAGATCCATTAAGTTGTTCAACAAGGAACATGTTATGAAGGTAGCGTATTATTCCACCAAAAATATGAATGTGCCATCTCTAATATGGTATATCTATGTAAATGACTTGGATGACTAGAAGAAATCCGAAAACATGATTGGAAATTTCGAATTCGGCACAAGAAACGCAAGAGGAGAAAAACTTTGGTATTCCTGGAAAAAGAAAACATGTATGCTATAAATATCTTTCAACACAAGAATATTTGAAGACGGCACAACAATAAACAAACAACATAACAACTGGTAGTAACCATCGTATAGTTAAAGCGAAAATAAATATTAACATGAAAAAAGATATTAAAAAAAATATCGGATAGATGCCTTTAAAGTAAGAGCACATGAAGGGGGGTTCCAAAAGGTCTTTTTTAGTGGATAAGTTCGAATCAGATCCTTTAGATGAAGAAAACAAGAATTAAAGAAGACAAACTAAGCAACGAAACTAAACAACCAATGAAGAAAAGAAGACAACTATTATAGGAAAACCATACTCAAGCATAGAAGCAGATAACTTAATAGAGCAAGTCTTTGAAAACAACACTGGTCTAATAAAATGTCTAAGACCAGCACTGGATGTTTAAAAAATCATTAAAATTAAAGACACCAATAATAAGGAAGAGAAAGACAAACATAAAAAAATAAAGATAGTCGAAGACTTCTACAAAACCTTGTAAAGCTCGTAAAGCAAGTCTAAATGATCAACAAACGAAAAAATCAAAAAGAAAATAAATAATAAAAACGTGGGATCAGAGGTACTACCAAAGATAGAGGGATTCGAAATAGAAAGAGCTTTAAAAGAACTAAAAAAATAATAAAGCTTCAGGACACGACGGTACAATTGCCGGGCTCTTGAAAACAAGCAAGATGTTTCCATAATAGCAAAATCCCTAAAGATTGGAACAAGACTCTAGTAGTACTCTTAAAGTCAAGTATAAAAACTTTTTATAAGAATTATTAACAATCGGTGACTTGAAGATAAACTCCCTAGCCAACGAACATTAGCAAAATCTTCCAAAAGGTGGAGAGATAGCTGGCAATTTACAACGCAGGGAAGCATGCTTCTCGAGAAAATTATGCAGGGCAAGTGGAAATGGATTGGGCATACGTTAAGGAAACCTGAATATGTTTATGAAAAATGTGTCTTAGATTAAAATGCACAAGGACACAGAAAAAGGATCAAAGACATCTTGCAGGCACATATCAGAAAAGTAGGAAAATCTTGGATGTAAGTGGAGACACTTACAGAGCGCCCACTCAAATTTCTCCATTGACTTGTGATGTGCTTAGCGTATCCCTTGTTTTCCTACTGTAGATCGGATATCATATACCTATATTTAATGGGATCTGCATTTATCTGTTTAGATGCCTATTAGCCATGGTCTTTGGTCTGTTACTTTACGTGCCCATCTGTTTTTAGATTGTCATTTATTTTATCTGTGGTTTTGATTCCGTTTACTATCAACTCTACACTTACAATCTTTTGATAAAACAACATTGTCATCAAATCTAAGGTGTCTAGGTTAGTAGCTTTCGATGTTATTTTATTTATCGTCCCATTCTTGTTTAAAGACGTTTTCTAGGAAAAAAAGTGCCTATAAGGGAGATATGTGTCGAACTCCACAGCGTGTTTTTATTTTATTTGTTCTAGTTTATTCATTAATCTTAGTCACCTATTATATAATGACATATTCACAAAGCTTTATGTTTAGAACAAACAGTTTAGGTTAAATAGTACAAATATACATTAACCCGATTGTAATAATAACCTTTCGTTTAAACTTTCTCTTCTGTAATATAATATTGTATATAGTGTACTGTACGCGTAATTGTAAAAAAATCAAATCTAAAAGATAAATAAGATGAAATTTAGCTAGTGACAAAAACGTGCATCAAATGGTAAAGAGATCGCCAAAGCAAGATTCAAAAGAAATAACAGATCGAGGAACAATATAAATAGAATTTAACGTTTACTGTGATTCAGTTCTCTTAGAGATTATTGTTTTTATAAAAATGAGACTGTGTGACTATACGAGTATCACCGAGTAAAATGTTACCAAGTATATTAGAAAGCCTCACATATGGTAAAAAATCATCACATTTTATATAAAAGTTCACTTATCATCACTTTCATCCTCTACTTTAATGTCATTATCATTCTTTTCACTATTGTCCCCCATCATGTACTTTTTAATACCTTCTTCTAACACACTTCGCAGTATTTTACTGTCTTTAAGTATATCAAGCCCGCTGTCGGGATGAGGTCGTTTCTTTCCATTCTTCCCTTGTTTCTCGTCACTTTCTTCATCTTCGGTTTTGTTTGGAAAGGTGAGCTTGTGGACCAGACTTCCGAAAAGAGGCAGAAATGTGAGTAGTTGGGTCCCAACGAGCCGTTGGAAGTCAAGCTTTTCTTTGTCGATTTCTAGTCGCTGTCTTTGGACTTCTAGGTTCTCTTTTTGAATCTCGATAAGACCTTTTAGAAGGGCAGGTACATCTGAAAAATAATTTTGAATTAGAATGTAAATATATTATATTTAATACATAATTTTATTTATCTAATGAATAGCTTATTTCAGAAAGGACTCAGTTTTTTGTTAAAAGTAGATTCATTCACTATGATGGTAGACACTTCGTTTATTGTAGAAAGGGACCGGATTGATTCTGTTATAATAGAGGAATCGTATGACGTACTTTTCGTTTAGATACTACAGAAATGGACCCAGTGACTGAGGTACTTTTCTACACTAAGGTAGCAAATTGACAAAACTGCATCTAGTTAGGCTACTCCAGCTGATAATATTGTTGTTTGAGGTTATGCTGCAGTGCGGAATAACTATTAGGAAGTTTTATTGTTAATTATTAGGAAGAATTATTGTTAATCAAAAGTGACATTGGTTAATTTGAAAACATTTTAGTTTTTTTTTTCAAGAATGAGTAATAGTGACAGCGACAGGCATTCACGACGCCTGAAACCGAAACGGAGAAGAGTTGTTGTTAATATAGAACAATTTAAATGAAACGTTTTAAACCGTCTTCATGTTTCTGAGGAATTCTGTTTCTCAAAAATACATTGATTGGGAAAAGCAAGACAAGCGAAAAGACCGGATCACCTTGCAGGTCAAATTCTTTGCAATGTAATATTCAATGTTGTCAAAGTTGTCACAGAAAATGTTTATACAAATTTAGAATGATGACTAATCTCTAAACTACAGCAAAGCTACCATGTAGTTCCTTAAAACCAACCAAGTATGCTATTATTAATTCATTGCATGAATACTAAAAATGAACAATACAAAACAAAATAAACAAATGAATACTGTAATTTAGTATTCATTGCATGAATACTAAAAATGGACAAGACATTCACAAGTTAAACCGCATCGAGATCAGTCAACAAGACGCTACATTGAAGGAACACTCATTCAAATATCATGTCATTCTGGTAGGTAGGAAGGTATAGCTTTGTAGGGAAGGATTTTTTAGATTCTACGACATAAGTGACAAGCGTATCCGTCTTATTAGAAAACTTCTTTCGGCTGTAAAACGCCACAGATTTACGAGAAAAAAACAAAAGTGGCAATAAAATATGTGAAGTGAAACTGCGAAGGTGCACAATCATATTAGTTCCTTTCTAATAAAAGAAGGATTGTAGAAAATATGTTTTGTAGTGAATGTTTGTTAATTGAAAAAATGCATGAACTATTATGTGAAGTGTACCCTGAAAATAATATCAATTATAGTTTTTACCATAAATACTTTGAGGAAAACTTTAATCTTAGATTTGGCCGGCCGCCTAGTGATACATGTAACCTTTGCGAGACGTGTAAACGTATAAAAGACTCTAGACTTAATGAAACCGCAAAGAAAGTTTCTGCAGCCAAACAAATGGTGCAGAAACGTTGAGTCAAAACGATATTATTCATCATTGGCAAATTCCAAAGTATTATCAAAACAAAATGCTAACATTTTGAGTTTGGTTTTTGACTTTATGCAAAATGTAGATTTATCAAAAGTTTCAGTGCAAGAGATGTACTACCTTCGACAGTTGACTATTTTTGTGTTTACAATTTAAAAACTAATAATGCTTTATGCTTTACTTATATCACAAGGCCAAGCTTAAAAAAGGCCAATAGCTTCTTTTCTTGTAGACTACATTGAAGAATGTTCCAGATTTAGTAACTAAACTTCATTTATTTTCTGACATTTGTCGGGTAGGAATAAAAATCATACTTTGATTTGGGCTCTCTTAACTCTTGCTATCAACTACCGATGCAACAAAATTAAACATTTCTTCCCTTTTAGAGGACATTCATTCTTGTTGCGATAGGAAATTTAGCATTATAAAACGCCCTATTCGACATTGCAGCCGAATATAAACGATATATCAGATGTTGAATTGATTTGCACTGCTAGCAGCAAATCCCAAAATACTAAAATACTCAAACTCATAGGTACATGAAGTATAATTAGTTTATCTAAGAGTGCTGCTCTCTCATGGAGAGATCGAGAATATTTTAATGCGTCAAAGTATCATTACTTTGAATATTCTTCTGACAACACGGGTAATATTCAAACACCGGAGTTTATTCATACACTAAATACGAATGATAATGCTGCTTACTACTATAGTAATTTCAATGTCAGTAAAGTTGACCCACAAACACTTTAACTTCATAAAGCACAAGCTTATACTTCTTGAATGCTACCCCTAAAGAAAGAAAAAATTGAGGACCTTAAGAAAGCTGTAGAATACGTTCCCCAGTCAGAATTTTTGGCCGGGATGTTAAAAAAAACAATCTTTTGACTTTTTGTCTAGCTTTCGGAATGGTTTTATTCCTTTTTCAAGACACTGTAATAAGACAAATATGTAAATATTTAAAAAATATCACAATTCTTCAGTGTAACTTACTAGTCGTTGAGATTATAAAAGCATTGACACTCAACATTTATAACACACATTAAAATATAAAATTATGGACAAAATACATTCTAAAATTTTTAAAATTTTAAAACTAAAATTTTATATTATAGAGACTTTTCTTCAAAATATGTCAAATTTGTTGGTGGACCTTTTCTACAATCTTCAGGGTATTTTCTGTTTTTTTTTATACGGTAGGGTGGTTCTAGGTATCGCAAATTGTTTACTAACTCTAAAGAATATATGTTTTATTGGATCCAATATCTGACGTTTTGGACCCAGTACCTGACAAGGTATCAGTTATTGGAGTAAGGTCCTGAATTCAAGAACCGACAATAGAAAACAGTTCATCATTAAAAATATACTAAAATAAATTGATAAAAGTACTCATCAATAGCTTACAACACTGTCAGCTAATATGTGTATAACTTTTTGCATGTACCTAGAGCTGACATCACAGTTCTATCCTTACATTTATGAAAATTATGCTCTAAAACTATTTATTCCTATTTACCTAATCACATATTATAAGTGAGATTATATTATAAGTGAGAAGTTAGACTTACTTATCATATTTAATTTTCACTTGTTAACGGCAAAAATCGAAAACACTGGTCTTAATATATTCAGCAAGTCAAGAAAACAAAATTTCCTTTCTTTCAACAAATTTCGTTTGATCCCACACTAATGAGAATAAATAAAGACAGCGTCGAGCCCTGGTGCAGTCCTAATTTCACATAAAATTGTACAATTAAAGACGCATTCTACATGTTTTTATTTGTGACGAATCTTAAAATTGAGAAAGCCATCCTGAACGAGGAACCAATGGACGCATTAGACAATCAACATTTGCAAGAGATATGAGATTGATGTGGAAGTTATCCGTGCGGCAAAAGAATGATAGATAGGATAGTAGATAATATATGAATGATCAAGGGAATACAAGTGATGAAGAGTGACTTCTTAAGCAGGTCTTCACATGCCTAAACAAGATAGATCTGAATAGGGGCCAATAGGCGACATGAGGAAAAGCTACGAGCAGAAATGGACGAAGTAAGACACTATTAATAGCTGGATATTAAGCATGTTTCAGAGACCAAGAATGTAATTCTTCAGCTTGTCCGCAAGGCGTATTTGTACAAATGAAGAGATAAATGACACGATATTTGTTTAATATTTTGGTATCTTCCCAACAAACATCTAAAATAATTACTAATATCATGTCTATAAAAAAATTGGGGTACTCTGCAGAGGCAGAATTTGCTGAAATAGAAACAAAAACTATGAAATAATTAAAGAAGTGACACTTTTAAGCGTAACTTTTATGTATGATTATTCAAATTTAAATTTACAGGCAATGGAAACTCCACTAATTATATTAAAAGAATAAGGAAATCAAATAACGAGCAAGTTACATATGAGAGAATAAGAAAAGACTTAGAAATTTTTAATTTATGAATAATAGAAAATCGTAGTTTTCTAAAATTAATCAATTTATCGCACACTTTCAAGGTAAGTACATATATTATTTTGGTGGCATAACCTATATGTGCCATGCGTTACATTCAGATTTAGTGAAGGAAAATTACTATTTTAGTAGACACGTGGAATATCGAAATAAATATTTGCACCTACTTATTTTATATTAAATTTGATAAGCAAATTAAGTTCAAACTGAAGTATTTTAAGGAACGCCACTGTTCAGCACAGTAGGAACAATAAGTGGTCACCGTCAGGTTCTAGGAAAGAATAAGAGAGGTCGGCTAAAGAAAATACGGTGGGAGAGCGTTAGATCAGAGATATCTATGAAGATAATTAATATTAATATGATACAAGATAGGATGTGGATAAATGTAAGGATGCAAACTAAGTCTGCATAGGGATACAATTAAAAAGAATTATGATGATAGATATGATGAACGGATCTATCAACATCACAAAAACAAATGTAAATAATTCTATCTCTGCCTTTCAGCTCTACCTTTCCTCGCTAGAAGGGGGATTGAAAATAAATATATCTAAAACCCAGATGATGACAAATCTTGTACCATCGTCTGATAAATCTTGTAAATCGTCTGATATACCAATATGTCTTAAAAGAAAAACCTTTAATCAGTGTGTTTTGTTAGTGTTGACTTACTGTGCGGAAACGTTGACTATGACAAGGAGAACAGTTCAAAAGATCCGTGTGTGTCAAAGGGCGATGGAGCGTGCTATGTTGGGCGTTTCACTACGAGACAAGATCCCAAATCGCCAGCTACGACAAAGAACAGGAGTGGCTGATGCAGTAGAGAGAGTAGCAACACTGAAATGGAACTGGCAGGTCACGTGGCTCGAATGGCAGATAATAGATGGACAAAGCGGATACTGGAATGGAGACCAAGAGATGATGCCTACCGAAGCAGAGATCGTCCACCAACACGTTGGACTGACTATCTAAAACGTTGTCATAGGCATTGGATGCAAGAAGCACAAGATCGAAATAGATAGAAAATTATGAGGGAGATCTATGTCAAGCAGTGGATAAGCGAAGATTGAATGATGATGTTCAATAATTACAAATGAAACACTAAAACCAAGAACAAAACTTTAAAAATATGCTTATCTCCTTCGGTACTAAAACATTCAAGTAAAATTATTCATCTCAGTTATAAGTTATTTTCTACCTACTTCTTCTGTATTAAAACAAGTCATGATAAATTTCCCGATCACTTGTCACAAGATCAAATCTTTGATTACAAATTAAATCTAGGCGAAAGACCCAAGTGTGGGTCTTTCGATGACTTAAACCATAGTTGCCGTTGTAATATTTTAATGAAAACACTCATTTAAAAGAATTATTTTCTTCCCTAAAATGTCGATAATATTGTCTGTACAACGGATATAAAAATCTACTTACTCGTTTGTTGTCTTTAATTTATCGTTAATAAATCTACATAATTAACATATGTAACAATTAAAACTAGAACTAACGCATACACAAAAAAGGAAATTGAAAACCCCTTTAAAGTAAAGAAATATCATTTTATAAGAGGGAATAATACACCCAATTAAAATAAAAACTTACCGTCTTGTTTATTTGGACTACT